AGGCCGTTCCCTCTCCTCCTGTCCCTTGTTCCCTGGGAGCAGAGCCTGACCCCCCCCCCGGCTCCCCCCTCCTGTCAGGGGGTTGTGGGGCAGGAAAAGGTCCCTCCTGATCCCTCTTTTCTCCAGGCTGAGCCCCCCCAGCTCCCTCAGCCCCTCCTGCTGCTCCAGCCCCTTCCCAGCTCCCTTCCCTTCCCTGCCCACGCTCCAGCCCCTCCCTGTGTCTCCTGTCTGAGGGTCCCAGAGCTGCCCCAGCACTGGAGGTGCCCCAGCAGTGCCAGCACAGGGAGGGCACTGCCCTGGCCCTGCTGCCCCAGCAGTGCTGGCACAGCCCCAGGGTCACTGGGATCAGGTTCCTGCTCAGTATTCCTGCTTTATCAGTGCTGCTGATCCCGAGGCAGTGGCAGCACCTCTGGAATGTCTCAGCTCACTCTCCTCCTTCTCTCTTTGCCCAGATTGCCAGGGAGCACGGTATTAGGTTTTTCGAAACTAGTGCAAAAGCAAATATAAACATTGAGAAGGCATTCCTCACGTTAGCAGAAGACATTCTTCGAAAGGTAGGTGCTCACAGCATTCCTTTGGAACAACATCCCCAAGTCTCACCTCCCCTTGCTTTTGATGTTCACCTGAGCCGGTTGCAGCGTCTGCCTTTGGTGTGCTGAGGCAAACGGGTCCCTGAAGGAGCAGTGTTGGCGTTCTGAAGCCTGTTTGATGTTTGGCTGTTGTGGGGGTGGTACCTGCAGGGGATAATCCACATCAAAGAGCCCAGGAACTGAGATTCCTCCTTGTTTGGCCCTTAAACTCGTGGTTGTGTCTCCTTGTCCTTGCAGTTCAGACATTCCCCCTGGCGAGGTGAGAACTGTCCTTGCCCTGCCACCATCTCTGTCAGCTGTCAATGCACAGCATTGTCCCAGAACTGCTGAGGGCCTGTTGGGAAGGGTTCAGGTGTGGGGGGAGCAGAGGGATGAGCTCTGTCACTCCCAGTGTTGTTCCCAGGGATCAGCTCCTGCCTTTCCCTGGAGGTTCTGTTGCACCAGTTCATCTGGGGGCTGGTTTCCCTTCCTGGAGTGGGCAGTGTCCCACAGAACCATGGAATCTTTGAGGTTGGAAAAGCCTCCTGAGAGCACAGAATCCAGCCATGCCCCAGCACTGCCAAGGCCACCACTGACCCACGTGGAAACTCTGTGGAGCTCAGGACACGTGGATTGGCCAACGCTGGCATTTGTGCTTCTGCTCCTGCTCGAGTGAACCCCATCCCGAGCCTCATCCCTGTCTCCCTCCTCCCTCCCACGGGAATGCTGCTGGCAGTGTCACCCCCTTGTCATTGCAGCTCTCAGTCGTTTCCTAATCAGTTTTTGACAAGCTCTGTGTGAGGGACTGGGTGAAAATCCCTGGCCTTTGGTAAAGAGGAGGTTGGGCTACAAATCACACCGACCCCTTGGACCTTAAATCTTCATTTCTGGCCTCTGTAATTGTCTGAACATCTGGGGGGTTCTTTTGCAAGGCTGTGACAGAGAGTTAAAAAAGGAATAGAGAGACTGAAGTGTGTGGAGTTCAGTTGAGGTTCGTTTCCAAGCAGCTGGAAGGAGATGTTGGTGTGGGATCAAACCCACTTGAGGGGTTTTTGCTCTGGTCCCACTGGGTTCCATCCTGTGATGTGGAGGAATCCGCGTGTCCTCTGCCTCGGGAGCTGCTGTCCTGAGGAGCAGGAAGCAGAGCTTGGAACAGCCCCTCTTTATCCATAAAAACTGTGGTTTTTGAAGGTCATTAGTTCACATAATTTGAGTTCAGCTCGTGTTGGTTGCAGGCTGGGATTTATTTACTCCGCCGAGTCCAGCGCCAGCTCCGAGCACAGGAACTAAAATAGTTCCAGTCGACTTTGGGGTGGTCCAAGTTCAAACACTGGGGGTTTTTTCCCAGTTGTTTATTTAAAACAAACCCAACAACAACAAAAAAACACCCTTAGATTGGTTTTCCGTGTCTGTGCTGGAGCGGGGGGAGGATCCCCTGCCTTTCTGTGGAGTCTTTGTGCGCGGTTCCTTCCCCGCTGATGTCAGTCCTCTGTCAGTCCTCTTCTCTGTCTCCAGCTCCCAGTGCTTCCCCCGGAATCTCCCGAGCCCTCTAACTGTTCTCACTTGTTTCCTTGCAGACCCCTGTAAAAGAGCCCAACAGTGAAAATGTAGATATCAGCAGTGGCGGTGGGGTGACGGGCTGGAAGAGCAAGTGCTGCTGAACCTTCTCCTCTCTCACCAATCGCCATCCACCGCCCCTTTTTTCTCGCTGCAAAACAAACCACTCTGCCCGTTTTTTAACCTTAAACCGATGTTTTGTTCCTCATCTTAACGAGCTCCTGCCTCTCCCCCTGGTTTTCCGGCTAGGACAGCTTTGCCTACTCCAGTTTTCTCAACCACATGTATAGGAAATCCATCTCCGTGACTTCATTTTTCCATCTTCCTGCTCAACTCACCACTACGTTTGGGTTGTATGATGGCCCCGTCCCTCCTGCCATTAAACCCCAGAGCAATCATACTCAACTCTTCTGCAAATTGTATAAGAATAAAAGTTAGAATTAACAATTGATTTTGTACAACAGTGGAATTTTCTGTCATGGATCATGTGCTTGAGTCCCCATGTTCTCTAAGACGCATCAGCAAGAGCCAGGAAAACACTCATTTTTCGCCTTGAGTCCATGAGTGGGGTTTCTTTGTCCTGTGCCTTATGTGGAAAAAGGAACTTTTATTTTCACTTTCTTTTCTTTTTTTTCTGGTGGAAGCATGTGCAGGAGACATCCCATCCCCCGTGCCATTGAGTCCCGACCTCTGTAGTGATTGCTTTCTGTACCCGTTGGTGTCATGCATCGAGGACAAAGGGTGGTGCAAAACAAAAAGCAGAACCCCTGTAACCTGCTGTGTCTCCTCTTGGCGATCCCGCCGCTCCCAACTCTCCCCGCTGCCATTTTCTTTTCTCACTTTGCCGCTCTTTCCTTTTTTTGGTTGTTTTATTTTTTTTTTTGGTTTTTTGGTTTTCTGTTGGTTGTTTTTTTTTTTTTTTTTGCCTGCATGCTGCTTCGAGATTTGCATTTCTTCATGGTGTGATGTGTTAACGAAAAGGATGGCAACGCGGAGTGTTTGCCAAAAAAACCTTTAATGCAAAGCACTGATTTAGCTCCCGAGGTAACGATGTGGAGATCCCGACTAACCCCTCTAGGCGTGTCCGTCATAGCGACCCCCCTCCCGCACAGCCCCGCGGGCCCCCCCTATGGAAGAGTTATTTGCATGCACTAGTTTCTCTGGAGGGTGATGTGGTTGTCTACTTTCTGTGTATGAATATAACATGCGACTCCCAGACTGACAGCAGTTAATTAATTAATTGACACGAGCTCCGAGGGTCTCTCCCCGTCAGCCGCTCCGAGGGGTTCGGGAGCCGAGCGAGGGGCCGAGCGGAACCGGATCGGAAAGAGAAAGAAAGAGAGGAAAAGAACCAAACCAGCCAGTCGGCAGATTAATTTATCACCTCCCTGCAAACGTTCCACTCCGCAGCGTCGGCGGCCGAGCAGGGCCAGCCCTGCCCTGCATCCCGACGCTCTGGGAGCTGATCCCGGCATGGACTGGCTGTTCCAGCTTGCCTTCCTGTGCTGCTGTCACCCGTGGCCGGGGGCTCCGTCCTGGCTGAAGGAGGGCTCAGTTCTGCCGGTCCCAGAGCCCGCGGGAGCCACCGCGTTCGATCCGCGTTCGATCCGTGTTCAATCCGTGTTCCATCGTGTTCAATCCCGCCTGGAGCCGGAGCTCCGGCCACGGACACGCCGAGGGTGGACACGCTGCTGCCTCCCCAGCTGCTGCCTCCCCAGCCCCGCCTGCTCCTCCCGGGACAAGCCCGTGCCTCCTGGTGCCCGCGGGGCCGGGACTGCCCGGTCGGCCCTGGCGGCACTCGGGTAACGCTGAGTGAATTTTAATGACGAAATGACGGTGTTTCAGTGGAACTCCTAGTTTGTTCGGAGCGGCTTCCCCGGAGCGACCCACCGAGGCGTCTCCTCCCCCCGTAGTAACTCACCGAGGTGTCTCCCTGCCCCTCTGTAGCTGGCATTTTGTCCCCGTGTGTGTTAACCCTTCCCAGGCGAGTGGCTGGCGGGGCCGGGCCGGGCGCTCAGCGTTGGGCAGAGCCCGGCCGCTTTTGGTTAAATCTGCACTTTCTAACGCGATCAAAAAGGGAAAAAAATGGCGAATATACATCAAGGGTTTTTTTGTATAATCCTTGTTTTAAACGTGAGCTTCTTACCTGCTTCCAGGGGCTCGGCTCCCTCCGTGTGACCCCTCTGTAGACGCCGCCGTGCCCAGTGCGAGCCCCAGGTGGAGCCCAGGCCACTCGCTGGTCCCGCCCCCGATCCCCTCCCCTGCCCGGTTAATAAACTGAAATCTTTCTATTTGGTCTATTTTCTGTTCCTGTCCAACCACGAGCTGTACCCGCGGGCGTGGGCTCGAGCAGCACGAGTCGGTGCCGGTGCTGAAAAGAGATAAAAACACCCCCCCCCCAAAAAAATAACGATGTTGGAGGAATTTGCGGTAATTCGATTTGTGCTGGTGTCTGAACTCCCTGCTGGTCCCAGCCTGCCTGGGAAGGCCCTGCTGGGCTCCTGGCCCTGCCCACGGGGGGCTCGGCGCTGCCTTCCTGCCACAAAAACCTGTCAAAACGATTCAATCGGGCCCGACAAACCAAACCTGAGCTTGGCTCTGTCCCACGAGTGTCACGGGCGTGGGGGCCGTGGTCACCGCGGCGCCTCGTGCCCTCGGACGGTGGAATAACAAAAACAGCATCAAGGTCTTGGATTAATTCCCATGCGACAATTTTTTACTTAATCTTTTAATATTTTTGCTACTCCACTCTGGCTTTTTATTTAAAACACATTCTTTTGTACCACTTACTGTATCAAATTGTATAAAAGATCACTGTCCCATTCTTGGTCGTACCAAGAGCAAATAAAAGCTTTTATAAACTTGCAGTGGTGACTTCCTGGGCCCCCTTAAATTCCCCTGGCTGCCCCTGGAGGAGGTGGGATGATTCCTCCCCCCTCCCGAACCTTCTGGAGTGGTCTGGCTGGAGGTAGAGCTGCTCCCCCTGCCTTTCCCAAAGCTGCAGGGGGTGTTCTCCGAGGGCAGGATGGTGGGAAGTGCAGTGGTGTGTCCGACACCGCCACATCCCCACCTGGAGCCCCCGTGGGTGGGGGACACCCGGCTCTCGGGGCTGTGAGGCCTCCACTGGGGTCTCCAGGGGGACAGGACCTTTGCCAACATTTCCAGGGAAAGTAGCTGTTCCAGCCCGTCCCTCTGCACCCCCGTTGGTCCCACAGGTGGGAAGCACGGGAGGGCTCTCCAGGATCCCCCAGTGCCATTCCAGCACTCGCAGCCCAGCCCGTGTCCCTCCCTCCCTGTCCTTACCGTCCCCTCTCCGACAGCCCCCGGGACTGGGGGTGTCCCTGGGTCTCCTGCAGCCTTTGGGGGGCCGGGGGTGTCACTGCCCTGCAAAACCCAGCAGGGGCCCGCCCTTGTGGTGGCAGAAACGTTTCTGCTGCTGCCCTTCTGCTGCCATGGTGTCTCTGTTCCCAGGGTGTCCCTGTTCCCTCGGTGTCCCTGTTCCCATGGTGTCCCTTCTTCCACGGTGTCCTATAAACCACGGTGTCCCCGCTGCCACGGTGCCCAGGCTGCCCCAGTGTTCCCGCTGCCATGGTGTCCCTGTTCCCGTGGTGTCCCTATTCCCATGGTGTCCCTGTTCCCATGGTGCCGGTATCCGGGAGAGGCCGGTTTTGTGCTGCTGGTGGGAATAAAGCTGTGAGTGTGTCACAGCCCCGGCAGCCCCAGGGTCCTCTCGCGGGGGGGACGGGGCCGTGGGGAGCAGCTCAGCGATCCCAAATCCCCCTCGATCCCAGGGGTGGGAAGGGGAGTCCCTCCGGCTCGGGGCGGGGGGCTCAGGGGTGAGAACCCTGCGGAGCCATCGCTGTGAACGGGGGGATTCTGTGTGAGGGGCTCCCAGGGGGGCTCGGGAAGGGGGGACCCGGCGGGGACCTTCCCCCACGGGCTCCCACTGTCCTGCTTGTCCTTGTCATCCCTGTCAGTGAGCCTTGAGTTTTCCCCATTATCCTCCTGCTGCTGTATCCTCCCTGCTCCATCCCTGCCCCTGTTCCCTCCCTGTCCCTGCTCCTTCCCTGTAGCTGCTCCGTCCCCTTCCCCGCCCCTTCCCCATCCCTGCTCCATCCTCGTTCCTGCCCCTTCTCTGTTCCTGCTTCATCCCTGTCTCTGTTCCATCCCTGTTCCATCCAATCCCTGCCCCACCCGCTCCGGCAGCTGCCCCCGTGCTTGGCCTGGGGGTGCCTGGGGGGAGTCCGTGGGGTGTCAGGGGACAGCACACGGTGACGTGTCCCCAGGGATGGGCACTGGCCCCGCGGGCACTTTCTGCTTCCTCCCCTCCTTCATCCTCCTCATCCCTGTCTCCAGCTGCGCGGGGCTGTGGGGATACAGCCAGCAAAGGCGGGGGGGGGACACGACACCTCAGAGCTCGACCGGGGCTTCTCAGCCCCCCCCGGCTGGGAGTGAGCGCGGCCCCAGCGCGAGGGGCGCGGGGACCCCCCGGCTCGGGTGTCCCCAGCTCGGGGTGGCCGCGAGTCCCCACCTGCAGGGTCCCTGCTCGGTGTGACGTCCCCGCCGGGGGTCCCCGTGCCGGAGTTGTCCCTGCCGGGGGTCCCCGTGCCGGAGCTGTCCCTGCCGGGGGGGTTCCCGTGACGGCGATGCCCCTGTCGGGGGTCCCCCTGACTGAGGTGTCCCTGCCGGGGTCCCCCCTCTCCCCGTGCCGGTGTCATTCTCTGTGTGTGAGCGCTGGGTCGGGGGTCCCAGACGGGAGGTCGGGGTGTGGGGCGGCATCGGGGTCCCCCGCCTGTCCCCCTCTGGTCCCTCTGTGCCCCCCGGGCCCGCAGCCCCCCCTTGGATCTCCCCCGGCAGCTCCCGGAGGCTCCGCTCCCCCGGCAGCGGGACGGGGCGGCATCGGGGGGGTCCGGGGCGCCCCTCGCCCCCTTCCCTCGGCGTCAGAGGGAGCCGAACCCCCGGGACGCCGGAGGGAGCCGGGGCTGAGCCCCCCCGGGACGCGGGCGGAGCCTCCCCCCGCGGGGCAGCGCGTCCCTCCCAGGGCACCCCCGGAGCGGCCCCGCCGGAGGATGCCCGGCCCGGGGGGGGGATGCCCGGCCTGGAGGGGGATGCCCGGCCCGGAGGGGTCCCGCCGGGGGTCCCCGCCCGCCGCCGCCTCCCCCCGCCCCCGCCGGGGGGGTCCCGCCTGCCGGGGCGGGCGGGCAGGAGGGGCCGGGGGCGGGCGGGGGGCGGCTCCTCCTGCCCCGCTCCCGCCGCCCCCCGCCCCCGGCCCCGGCCCCGGCCCGGCGGCGGCGGCGATGGAGCCCGGCCCGGGGCCGGCCTGAGCCGCGATGCGATGGAGAAGCTGGCGGCGGGGCTGGCCCGGCTCCGCTGGAGCCCCGCGGCGCTGCCCCTCGACGCCATCGTGAGCCAGTGCCGCCTGCCCACCCTCGTCTGCCTCGGGCAGGGTGAGCCGGGC